TTTTTATGTCATTTCTTAGTATTCCTAACAGGAAAGCTTCTGGTTTCTTAACAAAAGTATATTTCGATATTTTTTTCAATTCATTATAAATCATTTCCCAGAAACCTTTCATTTTTTACATTCCCACCACATATGATAGAATGTTCCTTCTTTCTCCTGACATTTCCAACATTTATTACTAACTTTATACATCTTTCCAAGTTTTACTGGTGTAACATACCATCTATATAACATTTTCATAACATTTTCTTTTATTGTAGTACATGCAGTAAATTTCATTCCTTCTTTCCACAGTCTTATCCAATCATCAAATTGAATATTATAACCAAAATCTTTGGCCCACTGAATCATTGCGACTTTAACCTCTTCATCCTTAGTATGCCACTCAAGTAATAATTTATACATTTTAGATTAAAAATTTAACATCATTATTCACAATTTCTTTTTGAAATCTAGATTTTTCATCTTGAAAACCACTTTCCAGCATCTCTTTTTTAAACATCGCATTCACTTGGAAGTAATGTAACCAATCATACACATATTTTTTAACTTCATCGTATGGTTTCAATTTCCATTTATTTCCTTCTTTTATAATTAAATTCTCATATATAATCCAACTCCCTGTCATATTGATCTTCTTGACACTCATTACCTCCAATGGCGACAGCCAGAATGGAGTTTTAAACTCTAATATATTTTTGTACCTATTCCATACTTCAATCAGCGGACCTCGGAAAATGTGATTTTCAAAACCTTTATGCACTCTTTTTTTCTCATACCATAAATATGCGTGCCAACCAAATCTATTATCATAACCTTCTAAGTCCAAAAGTTCTGAATTTTCCAACTTTATCCATTCTTTCACCCAGCAAAGACATGCAGCCTCAAAATATAACTTTAGGTCTGGCAGGGCAAAGCCTCCTCTATCTTTTGCATCTGTTAAAATCTTAAATTTTATTCTAGGCTTCTTGCCCTGCCAAATATATCTTGATAATACTCTTTGCCATTCTTTAAATATCTTCACACCTTTAATTATTGGTATTGATTGAAATAAAAACAACATTTTTGGTAGCACATTCATTTTTACCGTTGCAATTCTTCCCCAAAATGACAACTTCATTCTTCCCCACACTTCCAGGTCCTTCCTAATCTTATTCCAAACTGGTACATAATTATTTTGAAAAAGATCAATACTCTTGGGAGTTAATATAATCCCAAGATATTTAACTTTCTTGACCACTTCCATCTCTGAAAATAAGGGACCAGCAGCTTTGAAAATAAGGGATCAGATGGAGATGAGACAGAGCTGATCCCTTATTTTCAAGGCTGCTGGTCCCTTATTTTCAAATCTGTAAGTTGACAACTATGCCTGCTGCTCCTATTGTCTTGTCGGTGGTCTTCAAACACCACCACCACCTAAAACAAATGTGATCTGTTCAGGAGTCCCCTGACAGTCGCATACGCAGACCAGAAAGCCACCCCAGCATTCACGAATCCCTCTGCCGATAGCCTTGATAAAGCAGTTCCAAAAATCTTGCGGCATATTGGCCGCTTCTCCTTGCCCCTTTGTCAATCACGGCCTCCGAGGCCAAGCGAAAACCCAGCCTTGTTGTGCTGGGATGCAGCAGACTGGTTGCGCTTTGAGCAATGACTGAAACAGCAGCCATAGAAACAGTATCATCACATGACTTTGAAGACACGTAAACTCAGGACGAAAGGGAGAAATGGGCTAGGAGGAAGGCACGCTTGGCAAATCCACACTGTGATCAACTCCTGCACGAGAACCAATGCCCCCACTGTGGAAGGACGTGTGGGTCCAGAATTGGCCTCCACAGTGACTTATGGACTTGTTGTTAAAACTGTGTTTATGGAAGACAATCTTACTTGGCTACGAGGGATCACCAAAGAAGAAGAAGAAGAAAAAAAAGAAGAAGTTCCAGCCAATCATTTCATCTAAGAAATAACACCCCTCCCCCAATTTTCATTTGCTAGAAATTAAGCGCCCACTCCAAAACAACAACAACCCAAGCCTCATGTGGAAAGATTTCTCAGATACAGTAGTACCTCGGGTTAAGTACTTAATTCGTTCCGGAGGTCCGTTCTTAACCTGAAGACCACTTTAGCTAACGGGGCCTCCCGCTGCCACCGCGCCGCCGGAGCACGATTTCTGTTCTCATCCTGAAGCAAAGTTCTTAACCCGATTAATTCGTTCCGCGAGTCTCTTCGTCTTGCGGTTTTTTCGTCTTGCAAAGCATGGCTATTAGCGGCTAATAGCCGCTTAGCGGCTATTAACGGCTTAGCGGCTTAGCGGCTATTAACGGCTTAGCGGCTTAGCGGCTATTAACGGCTTAGCGGCTTAGCGGCTATTAACGGCTTAGCGGCTTTAAGAAAAAGGAAACAAACTCGCAAGAACTCGCAAGACGTTTCGTCTTGCGAAGCAAGCCCATAGGGAAATTCGTCTTGCGGAACGACTCAAAAAATGCAAAACCCTTTCGTCTAGCGAGTTTTTCGTCTTGCGAAGCATTCGTCTTGTGGGGCACCACTGTACTATTTCTGGGTTAGCGGAGTCTGTAACCTGAAGCGTCTGTAACCTGAAGCGTATGTAACCTGAGGTACCACTGTATGTGTGAGCTGCTTCTGATTAGTGCCGTTTCATGGGGGGGGGCATTTCAGCAGCTGTGTGACAAAGTGCCCAAATTCGGTCAGTGCTTGGGTTCAGGGTTTAGCATTCCAGGCATGCAGGGAGCTTGACACACAAACATAGCACCACGACTATGTCTTTCATGCCAATTTGGCATAAACTCCATTTGATGGAATGATCCTGGGTCCACAGTGATACAACTGGGCCCTTTAGAGATCCGTTTTAGGAGTTAGCCTGGATGGCTGGCCTGCTAAGAAGACTGGTTGAGATAATGGATTGTTCCAAGGCAGAAATGTGTTCCTCGCTAGGTAGAAGGCTAGTGGTGAATTCTGAAGTTCAGACGCTTTTTATTACAGCCCCTGTAGCCATGCCCCTTCTAAGGGGATATGGTTTTTTGACATTATGGCTTCAATATCAAACCAGCTTCCCCCTTCCCCTGCCTCCTGGTTTGCTTAGCATCCAACGTGGTGCAGAGTTCTGTTGGACTCAAAAGCTTGCTCCTTATTTTATGACATTTTGATTTCTCACAATAAAGGGAGTTGGAATTCAGAGGATTGCATGACAATGACTCTGGAGATGACCTCCTTGTTCCTGCTGTGCAAGGACTTCATCCCTGCAAATCTCTGCTCCACTACAGTGCTACAGATTAACATATCTGTATGTTCAAGAAGGACACTGTTCAAGAAGGACACTGACAAACTGGAACGTGTCCAGAGGAGGGCAACCAAAATGGTCAAAGGCCTGGAAACGATGCCTTATGAGGAACGGCTAAGGGAGCTGGGCATGTTTAGCCTGGAGAAGAGGAGGTTAAGGGGTGATATGATAGCCATGTTCAAATATATAAAAGGATGTCACATAGAGGAGGGAGAAAGGTTGTTTTCTGCTGCTCCAGAGAAGCGGACACGGAGCAATGGATCCAAACTACAAGAAAGAAGATTCCACCTAAACATTAGGAAGAACTTCCTGACAGTAAGAGCTGTTTGACAGTGGAATTTGCTGCCAAGGAGTGTGGTGGAGTCTCCTTCTTTGGAGGTCTTTAAGCAGAGGCTTGACAACCATGAAGTTATATGGCTTCAGTAGAAATGTTATAAGGAATTAAGTATAAATAGATTAATAGAGTATTAAAGGGGAAAATAAGGTTAGAATGTGTTAAGATAATTATAGGATAGAAAGCAGGGGAAGATGGGAAGGAATTGCTGAAACAACTAATAGAAGTGGAATACAAAAAGGGAGGTGTGAGGAGGTCATGGAAATAAGTGAATGAAAGATAAGATATTGAAATTGTTTGATGTGTTTTAAACTGTTTTTGTTTTGTTTTGTTAGTTTAATGTGTTAGTGTTATGTAGTGTTTTTGTATTGTATTGTATTGTTCATTTTCTTTTTTTGTAGTGTTTAAATTGTTGGAAAAGTAATAAATATTATTTTTTTTAAAAAAAGAGAATGTGAACTGGGAATGTTATTTTCCCAAAAGTGAAGAGGTCCCAACAAAAGAAGATTGGATACAGAAACTAATGGAAATACGCAGAAATGGCGAAACTTATCGGAAGAATAAGAAATCAAGACAACAAACTATTTAGAAAGGAATGGATTTGGTTTATTGAGCATTTACAAACAATCTGACAACAGATTAAGACATTGGCAGGATTATTGTAAAAACCTGCAGTTTTAATATATACAAATATATATTTAATAATATATAAAAAATTAATAATATTTAATATATATATATGAGATATATATTAGAATAGACGAATAAAATAATAAGTTAAGACAATTTGGAGTATGCAGGAAAGGACAAAAATAAATGTAAGGAACAGCAGAAAGAGGGGGAAAGGAGTCAAAATTGAAAATGTTAACACTTGACAAAGTAATTGTTCTAATGCAGGCATCCCCAACCTGCGACCCTCCAGATGTTTTGGCCTACAACTCCCATGATCCCTAGCTAACAGGACCAGTGGTCAGGGATGATGGGAATTGTAGTCCAAAACATCTGGAGGGCCGAAGGTTGGGGATGCTTTCTAATGTATATAAATGGAAATTATAATTTATTTATTTATTTTTAAAAAAGAGTGTGAACAGGGTAGTTTCCCATTAACATGCAAACAAAATTGAATTGTTACCCCGTTCCTACCTCTGAGTGGCCTGGAGCACGTTTTCCAGTTCCCAGAATGCTTCAGAGTGTCAGGGCTGAGCTATAGGTAGCTGTCAGAGTGGGAATGGAACCCAGGGGTCAGAGGAGGGGAGAGAACTCAAGCCTTGAGATGGAGCCAAATGCCAGAGCCGAAGAAAGGGTGAAAAAATGGTGGGAGTCAGCATCAAAACACACCAGCGCCAGGAGGTCTACTGTTGCCCAGGTGAAGTCTCAGCTCAGTCGGTTAGAGCATCGTGCTGATAACGCCAAGGTTGCAGGTTCGATCCCCGTATGGTACAGCTGCATATTCCTGCATAGCTGGTCTTTGGACTAGATGAGCCATGGTTTCCCTTCCAACTGTCCAGTGCTATGGTTCTCTGGTTCTCTATACCTGCTTAGGAGCTACGCCTGAGTAGGTGGTTCCAGCCTAGAACCTGAGGACACTTCACTGCCCAGAAAGATACCATATTTTTCGCTCCATAAGACGCACCTAGTTTTTAGAGAGGAAAAATATTATTTAAAGGGAGCGCTGAGTGGATCCTGTATGCATCCCAGGCTCTGCTCAGCGCTCCCTTTCACGAGCCGCGTGGAGCGTGTGTGCGGTGCTTGTGGGCTTTTCCCTGAGGAGGGAGAAGTGCAGCCCATCACTGATGGGTTGCCCTTCTCCCTCCTCAGGGAAAAGCCCCCAAGAGCCGCACACACGCTCCGCTTGGCTCTTTAAAGGGAGCGTGGCTCTTGCTGGCTTTTGTGGGAGGTGGAAAGGACAGAGCGCGGCTAAGCCAGAAGCTAGAACAGCGAGAGGGAGTGCTGCGCAGCGATCCCTTTCGCTGTTCTGGCTTCTGAGATAGCTCCACAGCCTGCATTCGCTCCATAAGACGCACACACATTTCCCCCTTACTTTTTAGGAGGGAAAAAGTGTGTCTTATAGAGCGAAAAATACGGTACTCCAGATTGCCTTGGGAGTCTCCACACACAGGGCAGCTATGAGTCGAACGTTTCTGAGGTGACAAACCCTGGTGATTCCTGCCACAGAGATCTGACAGGACAGTTTTCCTCCTGCAGCCCTGACATCTGAGAAATCTTTTCCCCTACCTACAGATTTAAGGGAGGAGTTGCTCTTCAAATGACAGCCCTGACTTTGCTCTTCCTAGGGCCTCGTCCACACTTCTGTTTGTTCCCCTCCCCAAGGGAAAACCCTCTCCTTACTGCTGAATCGGAGCAAATGTCAACCGAATTTTCCGCAGTGTTATGTATTCGGTGGTCTGTGTTTGCCTGAGCTTGAGTCTGGACTAAGGATTCTGTGTTCTGATTGGATACATGATATCCAATCACAGAACATTTCAGGATTTGGGCCTTAAACTCTGAGTCATAATTCGCAGCTTGGCAGTTTAGACGGCCAATCACGTTGGGAGTGGGCGTGGCTCAGGCCTTCTGAAATGTATATAAGCAGTTTCTTTGCCCCTGTTTTTTTTTAAATAATATTTATTAAAGTTTCACAAGAAAAAAAACCACATTAGTAACAATAAAAATAAAAAATACAAAGTAAAAAAAGAAAAAACAATTAAAAACAATTTCATCTTTTCCTCACTTCTTTTACATTTACTTGTTTCCCGGACCTCCTCTTACCTCCCTCTTTTGTATTCTAATTAAATATGTTAATCCAACAATTCCTTTCCCTCCTTTTTAATCCTAATCTTTAATCTTGATATAATATAACTTTAAATTTTAGATTTTACATATTAAAACCAATTTTTCCATATTCTTTTGGCTTGTACAGCTAGAAACGCCTTAACTTCAATCCAACATCATTCTAACATTCGTTAATTTCGCAATATTTCTGTAAATAGTCTTTGAATTTCTTCCAATCTTCTTCCACCGACTCTTCTCCCTGGTCACGGATTCTGCCAGTCATTTCCGCCAGTTTCTTTGCCCCTGTTGTCCAGTTCTGTAAGTTCAAAAAAGGTTCATGCTGTTATCAGTGTGTCTTGCCTAGTGGAAACCCACCTACACTTCACGCGGGTTGACTTCAGCAGCACAGGGCAGATTTCCCCAAGGAAAAACAGCAGGGGGAAATAGAAAACCGTGATTTTGAATCCACATTTTCTAGGTACAGGACAAGCTCCTCTCCCCCTCCCCCAAGCTGTACCCATTTGCTGTCTTCCTGGACTGCCTCTTTCCTTGAAGTCATGCTTTCAAGCTTTGATCCCGCAGAGCAGGAAAGGACTTGGAACCCGGCCATTTGGCATGTTGCTGTCACCTTGCGTCACTCCCCTCTCACCTTTTACAATGGCCAGGGAATATTGGCAGTCCAAAATCATATAGGGAGATCTGATCGGATGATTTATGCCAAAGGGGATTAGACTGGTATCCAGGAACTGTTTGTCAAGTGCTCCCAACTCCTTCGTTTAGAACAGGTATGTCCAAAGTTCGTTTTGGGGGGGGCCTAATTCGGCCCCCATGGCGGTATATGTCCTGGGGTAAAATCCTTAAAAAAGCTCAACAACTTTGGTCGGCACTCATGCATCATCAAATCTGGCCCTCTTTGAAAAAGGGTTTGGGCATCCCTGGTTTCGAACATCCATGGGCTCCTGCCTGCCACACAGAGGAGGCAACAGTCTGAAGATGCCTTTCCAAGCCACCCCTAGTGAAGCCTGCTTTGGTATCTATCCGTAGCAGGAAAGAACGACCCGTTGCCCCTGTGATGGACAGAGCGTTGTGGCAACCCACAGAAAACTGGCATGCAAGTTCAAGTTGGCGCCCTTGTTGAGTCTTAACATGGGGGTATATAACTAAAGCAGGTGACATATTCCAGCAAATAGGACAGGCCCTCCATGTGTCCCTCATTTCCAGGGACAGCCCCTGATTTACAGAAGCCGTCCTGGTTTCCGATTTGATCCCAGAATGTCCTGCTTTTCCTTACTAAAGGTAAAGGGACCCCTGACCATTAGGTCCAGTCGTGACCAACTCTGGGGTTGCGGCGCTCATCTCGCTTTATTGGCCGAGGGAGCCGGCGTACAGCTTCCAGGTCATGTGGCCAGCATGACTAAGCCGCTTCTGGCGAACCAGAGCAGCGCACGGAAACGCCGTTTACCTTCCCGCCGGAGCGGTACCTATTTATCTACTTGCACTTTGACGTGCTTTCAAACTGCTAGGTTGGCAGGAGCAGGGATTGAACAATGGAAGCTCACCCTGTCGCAGGGATTCGAACCGCCGACCTTCTGATTGGCAAGTCCTAGGCTCTGTGGTTTAACCCACAGCACCACCCATGTCCCTGCTTTTCCTTAGGTCGTCCCTATTTTCATGGGAGAAATGTTGGACGGTATGGAGTTATGCGACCACCGAGCCAAGGAGATAAGCCACTATACAACCTTTAGAAGACATCTGAAGGCAGCCCTGTCTAGGGAAGTTTTTTTAAAAAAAATATTTAGTGTTTTATTACCGTATGTTTTTATATATGTTGGTAGCCACTCAGAGAGGTTGGGGCAACCCAGCCAGTTGTTTGGGGTAACAACAACAACAACAACAGACTAGGGCGTCCCTATTTTCATCGGAGAAATGTTGGAGGGTATGGCAACGTGCTTCAAATGTGTGTTTGCTGTGCTCTGGATGCATGGTGTGAATCTGCCCTTAGAAAAAAGTTAGCTCCAGAGCTGCTAGTTAGAATCATAGATACCATCAAACTGTACAGGTGGAAGGGACCCTGAGGATCTGGCATAGTATACTACAGTGGTACCTCAGGTTAAGTATTTCATTTGTTCCGGAGGTCCGTTCTTAACCTGAAACTGTTCTTAACCTGAAGCACCACTTTAGCTAATGGGGCCTCCTGCTGCTGCCGTGCCGCTGGAACACGATTTCTGTTCTCCTCCTGAAGCAAAATTCTTAACCTGAGGTACTGTTTCTGGGTTAGCGGAGTCTGTAACCTGAAGCGCATATAACCTGAAGCGTATGTAACCCGAGGTACCACTGTACTACTACTACTACAGTACTACTAGTACTAATAATAAGGACATCCCTATGGGAGGGTATGGAGTGGGTTTTTTAATGCTTAATGTTCTCTTATGTTATTTTATATGTTGAAAGCCCACCCAGAATGGCTGGGGGGGGGGTAGAATAATAATAATAATAATAATAATAAGAAGAAGAAGAAGAAGAAGAAGAAGAAGAAGAAGAATGAATAAAGGACATCCCCATTGGAGGGTCTGAAGGTTTTTTTAAAAAATGTTTAATGTCTTCTTATGTTTTTTATATATGTTGAAAGCCACGCAGAAGGACTGGGGCAGCCCAGTCAGATGGGCTGGGTATACTACTACTAGTAGTAATAATAATAATAAATAGGACCTCCCTATTGGAGGGTGTGAAGGTTTCTTTAATGTTTATGGTTTTCTTATGTTGTTTTATATATCCTGAAAGCCACCCAGAATGGCTGGGGCAACTCAGTCAGATGGGTGGGGTATAATAATAATAATAATAATAATAATAATAATAATAATAATAAATCCCTATTTTCATCAGGGAAATATTGGAGGGTGCACCGAAAAGCAGGCACTCTTCTTGCTACCTGGTCTGCTCTAAGCTCTAAATAAAGCAAAATGGGAGCCGGGGGTTGGGGAGAGACAGCTCTTTGTGATCCAACATTTCACACACACACCCCCCGCCAAGGAATTAGGAGGCAGTTTGTCTTGCACTTCATCACCTTCGGACCCAATGAGGGAGGGAGAGCGTAGAGTGCCTGCCCGCCCGCCCGCCGCTCTAAACTGCACCCACGGGCGCACGCAACAGTAGCCAGGAATGTGTATTTCTGTAGATGATTAAATCAATACAATTTTGACAAGACTTGTTGGAACATGCTTCTTTATTTTACGCAATTCCTTCCCCTTCGTCGGGGGCATTTATCACCCTGCCTGCCTGTCAGCTAATGGAGATTGTTCTTAGTCCACACTTGATAGAAGGACGTTGTTATGATGCATGCCCACAGTTCAGCTCAGATGCCGGGGGTGTGAGCACGGCGGGGGCACACACAAAGAGCTCCACTAGGGGAGGGGGGCCGGGTCACTTTTTCTGCTTGGCAAAAGGGGTAAGATTATTGTTATGAATTGTGGCTGTTGTTTCCCAACTCAGTGTCCTTTCAGAGTGGAGTAATAGCACAGGAAAAAACAACAAACCCATGGCTATCGTTGCTCTTGCAGTTGGTTATTTGACAGAGTCGTGTACCCATTTTAATTAGAGGCACAAATTGAGAACAGTTGTTTTACTTTTTATCTGATGCAAGGAAGACGACAGAAAATGCCTTGATCCAAAAGGGAGATCAAAGGAATATTTCACACTGAATCTGGTTTAGATAAACCGTATATTTTTGTAAAGTTATTTGAATGTATCGGCCTCTAAAGAGGTGCTATATAGCCTGGGTCACACCCCAGGCTGGGGATGAGTATTTTGTACCTGTTCGTTTACGGTGCACCTCCCCCCTCATTTTTTGTTTGCATCTGGTTTCAGTTCCATTCCCCTCCTTTGTAGCTTACTTTCAAAATAACAAAAATTAGGGCACCCAAATCAACTCCTGCGCAGCAAAACGAAGCACACTTCCAATACGGATGCAGAGCCAGTCTGCGGAACTCCCTGCCACTGGAAGTAGCAACCATCAATAACATCGCCCGCTCTGAAACAACATTTGCCTTAAAATGGGGAAGC